TATAAGTTAAGTATTGAAAAAATATATAATATAACACTTTCAAGGTATTAATACAGATCGCGAAAGAAAAACTATCTAACAATGTTAATCCTTCTATTTTAGCTATTATTTTAATTTTTTTGATAAAAAGTTTTTTCTGTTAAAGAAACTGTACAACTTAATTTATATTATTTCGATTTATGTATTTTCCTCCGCAAATTCTCTGCTAAATCTAGTAAAATTGTTTATCCTGTTAAGTGTATTCAAAAAATGGTAAATAAATACGTAATAATAATCTACCATGGCATTATTTCATATGCATATTAAACATAAATATGTAAATAAAGTGATAATTTGTTTAAACATCCATATATTTATAGTTTTTTTACGTATATCATAATATAATGTTTAGGGACAGCATGGGACCTATTGGTCCATCTCAGCTGTCCCATCCTCTAAACTAAACTAAAACTATTAAATAAATTAACTTAAAAAATCTTAAACAAGCCCTTATCATTCATATAGTCATCAAATTTTCTTTTAAACTCACTTAAATTTACTGCCTCCACAACATCCAACGGCAACCCATTCCAAACGCCAACCACCCTGATAGAAAAATAAAACTGTCTTAACTGAAGATGACTCCTACCTTGCTAAAATTTATATCTGTGTCCCCTAGTTCTACTATTCTCGTCGTTAAGTATGAAAAAATCTTAAACACTTCAATAAGATCCCTTCTTACTCTTCTTTTTTCAAGAGAAAACAACTTGAGATTTCAACCTCTCCTCGTATGACAACCTTTCCATCCCATGTACATTCTAGTAGCCCTCCTCTGAACCCTTTCCAATAATTCAATGTCCTTCTTAAGGTAAAGAGCCCAAGACTGAACACAACACTACAAATGTGTCATAACTAGTGACCTCTACAATTAAATTATAATCTCTTTAGACTTGAATTCAATATTTCTGTAGATCTAAAATCCTATTTGCCCTGCCACTAGCAACAGCACACTGTTTGGATGGCTTAAGAGACTGATCAACCACTACACGAAGATCCTTTTCTTTCATAACATTAAGGTTATCCCCATCCAAATTATACTTATAATTAAAATTATGATAACCCACGTGTGTTATCTTATATTGATTATAATTAAAATCCATCTGTCATATATTTGTCCAGCTCACTAAATGATCCAAATCCTTTTGTAAAATAGCAGCATTCTCCTCACAGCCAGCAACATCCACAATGTTAATATTATCCGCAAATTTAAATAATCTAATGACTACTTCTTTATCTATGTCATTGGTGTAAATAACATAAGAGCAAAGGACCTAACACTGAGCCTTGTGGTACCCCACTTGTGACATTCATGCAGCTTGAGTGAACTCCATTTGTAACAACCCTCTGCTCTCTTCCATCCAGCCACTCTTCTATACAATGAGCTAATTTATCCTTCACACTTATAGATATATTTTTAGAATGCTTTCTGAAAATCCAGATACACTAAATATACACCCTTACCCTCATCTACATAAGCAGTAACCTTTTCAGAGAATGTTTAAAGATGAGTAAGGCAAGATTTTCCCTTAGTGAAACCACATTGACTATCCAATAAAATTCTGAGGATAATAAAGTAATACAAGGTAAAACAGCTTGTTTGTTTGTAATTAAGCACAAAGCTACACAATGGGCTATCTGTGCTCTGCCCACCATGGGTATCGAAACCCGGATTCTAGCGTTGTAAGTCTACAGACATAACGCTGTGCAACTGGGGGGCAGGTAAAACAGAGATAAAAACTTTGTTAACTTGTTTGTTGTTAAGCACAAAGAACTATTTATACAGTGACAACCACGCCTATCAAAACTTGGCTTTTAGAGTTATAAGCCTTCAAACTTATCGTTATGCCACTGGGGGGATGATAAAATTTGTAATGAGCAGCTAGGTTTTACTTATTTCGTAATTTGTTACACAATTTTCGATACGGATTAAAAATATCTATTAAAGATTGTCGCGTCGATAATCTAACCCAAACTTAAATATATATATCGAGAATTACTATAAAAACCTTGATGTTTGGCTCCACCAATAAAAAACACAATTAATTTTTGAGAAAATTTTTCAAAGTTGCGGTTTAAACGCTGAAATCTGGCAAAGGGTTAGAAACTAATAGGTCTAAAATTCGTAATAAAAATAATTTAAACTGCAAACTCTTTTCACTTAACTTGCCCCTTTCGATTTTTAAATCAGATAAATGTACAAGTAGAATTTTAATTTTTTGTTGACAAGTCACTGTCCAGCAGGTCAAGAGCTCATTCGTTCAGTGCCAGATTGGGTTGGATGGGGCAAGACGAATAATTTTCTGAAATACTATTTATATATGCTGTTAGCAAATTTTAAATGTGTTATAACTGCCTGCTTTATTGATATAGAAATTTTATTTTTTTCTTTTATTTAGTTTGTAACCGTTTGAGCATAAATACGTGATCCGGAAATTCGTTGAGATGGTCTTATTCCAGTTTCTTTGTTTTTAGTTCTCTACAGAAAGTAATATCTGTTCTGTCCGAGAGGATACTGAAGTAGCATTAGTATCTGGGTTGAGAGAATAATCACTGTAATATCCTTTGGTGGCCGAGTTGACGTTGTCTAGTGCAACAGTCTCGACCAATGCTGTGAGAAAACAAAGGTTACGAGGTTGACTGAACAAACAAACAAAGCTTACCCATTGAATTCAGGCATGCTTTCTTGGTCCAGTTCTAATAGGAGATCATCGAGCAAGGACTTAAAATTACCGTGTTTAACTGTACAGAGACCAATCTCAGAAGAAAGCAAACAATGAAACTAAACACAATTTAGTAGATTGTTTGTTTAGAATTAAGCACAAAGCTACATAATGGGCTATCTGTGATCTGCCCACCACTGGTATCGAAACCCGGTTTCTGGCATTGAAAGTCTCCAAACATTCCGCTGTGCCACGGGGGGGGGGGCAATTTGGTAGAAGCGATTGCTTTTTCTTGCGTACCGTTCGTTTTTTTTGTTTGTATAATAATTACTATTTACTTTGTCTCATTATTTTATACACACTAGGACAACTTAGTTATCAGATGAAGAATTACTATTCTTACTTCCTGACCAAATCTGCTGTTATTAACGGATCCATCAATCTGATTAATATTTATAGGTAAATAAGTTTTAAGTGAAAAATACTAAAAAAGCGCTATTCTCCAATCAGGGTTATTTTGTGGAGATAATTATTTTAATTTTTCAAACGTGCGGTTTATAAATCCCCGAGCCCAACATTATTTCTGGATTTTGAGTATATTATGTCCCCCCCCTTTTTTTTTTGTCCAGGGCCTAATGAGTTCTACTACATTTTAAGGCCTTCAATAACAATGTAATAACAGAATTTTTAAACATGGAAAGTTAAGTTGTTCAGTCATTTCAGTAGGCTTCTACTTTAAGCCTAAAAGTACGATGCACCCACAACAGGGATCGAAATATTAAATTTTAGTGTTACAAGTCCTCAAGCTTATCGCTGAACCAATGGGGCCAAGGTGGAGCTTGTACACGTTCTATTATCGCACTTTTGGGCATCAGCTATAATTTCAAGTATTTCCTTTATAATCCCAAAAACAAACGACAGTAGTTTCCAAAATATTTTATTATTAATGCAAACCAACGAAGGAATGTGTATATATATACGTTTTAGGGTATTTGAAAGCGAGTAATATGCATAATTAGTCACCCAATTCAATGTTATTATTGACATATGAAAACAACGTAACAAAAATGAATTTTAAATGGAAGTTTATTTCAGCATTCTCAAATAATCTTTAAACGCCTACAAGAGTACATTGTAAACATATTTAATTACAAAAATATCAAATACAAATTGTATATATTATTATTTTTAACATCCCTTGCAATTTGAGACACGCGGTGAATAGTTGAAGCCAATATTTCTTATTTACAGAAACACTAACATAATTTTGTTTACAAGGTAAACGACGCCATTAAAGAAACCCTAAACATTACTTCGCAAACTAAATCTTTAGGAAATAAAGTGCTTTACTCCACCTTAAAACGGAAATACATGATGGGAATAAAATAAAAGAATGATCCTTAACAATAACATCAGTGCTATTATGGTTAACACATTACAATAAAAAACAACAAAAAATATGATTTCCAAACATGAATTAAACCCAGGATCTCTAGCTACTACGATGTTAATATGCTTCCCACATTATCTACCCTAGAACACCCTTCTAACACCCCCATTGTTTCGGGGAGAGAAAAAAAACAAACTCCTCGGGTACTTTGTTTAATAAAAAAAAAGGGGGGGGGGAGCTTGACCTTGAGTTTTCCCAAACCTTTGTCATAAAAATGACATGACGTTTTAAAAAAATAAAATACTCAGTATATATTACAAGTTTTAGAAATATAAGGTCTAATACTTATCGCTGAGCCGCTTGTGGGTGAAAACAAGAGAGAGAGTAATATCACGTGTTTTTTAGTGAAATATTGGGTAAAGAAACAGTATGTAACTTAATCAATATCAGTAAAGCTGATTTCTTTTAGAACAGAAAATTACGTTTACTCAACTTGTATAATCCAGTTCTATCTATCAACATCTAATGTGAAGAGTTTCTATATACGGACTTCTTGTTTAAATATTAGACAATACTGTAACCAATGGTTTAACAGTAATCACACATAAGAATAGACCTTACATGTTAGCAGACAAAGTTGATAAGAAATTAGTTAAATGTGTTGTTGGATTAATTAAAAGTAATTTTGTTTGTGTCTAATCAAGCACAAAGCCACAAACAATGGGCTAATGTGTACTCTGCCCACCACGGGTATCGAAACCCGATTTCTAGCGTTGTAAGTCCGCAGACATACCGCTGTGCCACTGGGGTGGTGATGAAAATAATTTTGTTTGTTGGAAGCTAAGCACAAAGCCACAAACAATGGGCTATCTGTACTCTGCCCACCACGGGTATCGAAACCCGATTTCTAGCGTTGTAAGTCCGCAGACATACCGCTGTGCCACTGGGGGGGGGGTGAAAGTAATTTTTTTTATTGAGAGGAATTCATCACTAATGGGGTAAAATACAGTTATTGTGGTTAATTTATTCATCGTTTTTTCTAATAAATTAAATATTATATATTAACCTTCCTCCCTGATTTGTTTATTAATCTGTACAGAAATTGTGCAACAATAATGGATAAAAACGGCCGAAAAATAATAAAATAAAATAATCCGTAATATCATTACATTTCACACATGTATAACACATACAACTATTGAGTTAAAATCTGAAATCCTTGTTGCATTACACTGATTTATACGACAAGATCCATTTTCAGTTTCCAGTGAAGAAAGACTGATTCTTTACGTGTACCTTGGAATTCAACTAATACAAAATCTTTACAAGTAATAATTTCATTAGGATTTAAGATATATATTTTTTTATTACAAGTCGTTTTGTTTTGTTTTTTTACTTTTATGAGCTACGTATTTATTGAGAACCCCTTCCTTTGAGAAGATAAAATATATAGCTGTCATTAAATTCCAATCGGAGCAGGCTGCCTGCACCAATCAGATGCCAGTAATGAATAGCACTGATCTAATATATTGATATAACATTAGGAATGCAAAGTCAATAAAAAAAAAAACACGTAATAATTAGATTGTCGTGATCCATTAGTTGAGCATGCTCATATTCTGGAAGTTTCTCTACAACAACCAGGAGTGGGGAACGTTTTCCCACCTATTATAAATAAACTTGACGTAGAAGATCAGTGATACAATATTATTTCCTACTTATTTGTGGAAGACCATGATTCTGTAAATACTGATACGATAAATAAAAATATATATATAATACTGCATACATATATAAATAAAAGAGGGTACAATAAAAAAGATATCTAACTGATTGTAAAACCTGTATCCTAACTAAATTACAAAACCAATACAAGTAATACCAGTAAAAAAAAAAACCTACATACGTACATATGGAGATTCGCATATAAAGTATTCCGTTTTAATGTATTTTGTAATAAATCACATTTATAACTTTGATGATCAGGAAAGCATTATATTTACTTAAAAGATTGTCTATGATAATATATATATATACACAAATATGGACTTCTTTATTACAGGCTAACACCATTAGATTAGGTATTTCATTCCTTACTTTACGAGGAGCTTCGAATACACATTGTCTAAAGTGAACCCAAACAAGGGTTAAGTCCACGTGTTTTTTGGATTCTGTATACTAGTAGTAGCACAAAGGACACGTTCAGGAATAAGACTTTGATAATTCCCGTGTTTAAAGTGCAAGTCTTACCTGCAGGACAAAGGAATTGAACTCGGTATAGGTTGTTATAACTAAGAATTAATGGTAACTTCTCTCAACATTTCCTAAGCCATGATTTTGGCAACTGTCTCAGGTAAACTACGAAATATCATGCTGCTAAAGTCACTATTTAATAAAACTCATTATTTTTAACAGCTCATAACACCAGACTCAAAATACGTAAGCATGCATTTGTACACCATAACAAGGTCTCTCTCTCTCTTCAAAAGATAATTTGTCCACTTTGCTCCATCTTCACTGATAGCAGAAGTTAAAAGAATGTCAGCTTACTCACAATTTTGTTCTGCTGGCTATGGAAATTGTAATTGACAAATTTACCAACAGGAAATAAAAATACTCGAAAGATACATTGTCCTTTTAAATCTTGATATTACAAGTTCATACTCTCATTATTTGCCAGAAGGTACGAACACACAAGACTGTTCTTTTTAATATATCTTTATGATCTTATGAGTGTTCTATGTAGGCTTAGTTCATAAATATTCATTCACATGGCTTTAGAGACTCTAAGCAGGTGAAAAGGTTTTCTCCATCTTGAATGAACTGCTTTTTTCTTCCACAAAATACTTTCTGTATTAACAGTTGTCTTTTCTCTGTCCACATATTGCACCTCACTAAATGACATCACTGCATTGTCAAAACCGGAAGATGACTTCTTCTGTTCACCATCATCATCCTTACTTTTCTTACTCCTCAACAGCGGTCTTCCTTTCACCTTATTTTTTGCTATATTAAGTTTTGTTTGATTAGCTATGGCTTTCTTCAAGCTATCGACTATTCCAACTATAGCCTTGGCAACCTCCCTCGGTGTCGCATGTACTTGCGAAAGTACATCCCAGTCTCTCTCAGATACTTCTGGTGGAGCCTAATGTATAGAAAAAAAAAGTGTAAATATTGTAGCCATAAAACCATTAGTATATAAAAAATCACGAAGTTAGAATCATTAAACATTATTATTTTTTTAAATAAACTTTCAACCATCAAGATCGAACCTGCTGATAACATAATTCACATTTTCAAGCGTAGGAATATGATAGTTTATTATAATATTTAATGTTTCTTTATTACTGTACATAACAAGGATCCAAAACTTGAAACAAATTATTTATGGCTATAATCCTTTACGATAATACATTACAACTTCACGAGTTAACCTATTTGAATTACTTTATTTTTGTTTCGTTTACAACTGCTCGCGAAATATACATTTTACCTCGTATTTAACTAACGGTATTCCATATTCTCCAGCTGCAGCACCCCCTGTTGAAAAGACCGGTATGACGTAATGGTCATTCCAGGCGAACTCACAAACTTCGTGAGCTGTAAGAGCTCCCCCTGTTGAGAAAAAAACAAAACAAGAACAATGGAATTATTTTCTGTCAATACTATTTCAAATACACATTTTCTGACCTCATCCATTTGTCCTCTCAATTTCAGCAAAATTAATTTCCAAGTTGGTTCAAGTTTCAGTTATGCTTCGTAAACTAGAAGAGTAGACATATATAAACAGTTTCGGAAAATATAAATGCTCACACAATGTAAATTTTGAAGACTTACTGTTGTGTCTTTACAAAAATACTTATCAGTTTAAATTTCCCATAAATGCTTGAGAGTAAATTATCCTACAGCAGTATGTGGCAGGGGGTATCAAACTGGGGGCCAAGAGGAGGGGAAGTGGGCTGGTAAAGAAATAGTGGGGAGAATGGCTCACACAAATACGGTTACAATGGCCCATGGATCTCACACAAATATGGTTACAATGGCCCATGGATTTCACAGAAATATGGTTACAATGGCCCATGGATTTCACAGAAATACGGTTACAATGGGCCATGGATCTCACACAAATACGGTTACAATGGCCCATGGATTTCACGGAAATACGATTACAATGGGCCATGGATCTCACACAAATACGGTAACAATGGGCCATGGATCTCACACAAATAAGGTTACAATGGCCCATGGATCTCATACAAATATGGTTACAATGGCCCATGGATCTCACACAAATATGGTAACAATGGCCCATGGATCTCACACAAATACGGTAACAACGGCCCATGGATCTCACACAAATACGGTAACAACGGCCCATGGATCTCACAAAACTATCATTGTTGTGTTACGCTTGACTATCCTTTACCATTTCTATTCTTTAAGACCGTTGAAAAGCACTATGGGGTGGGGGGAGTGTTAGAAGAGACTATGGGTTACCCCTCTGGTACACATGGGTAAAAATCATAGAAGCAAACAGATCAGCTTTTATTCCTATTCAGTTGGTCTTATACACATTTAAAACACATCTAAAACTAAACACTTAACAGCATATCAAAATTATTTGTTTAGTGTAAAGACCTACAAGTCCCTAGGTGCCATTCATTTTCATGGTGAAATCCCCCACCCCAGATAAACCGCAGCAAGCAAGGTGTGGAAGTAGGTGTATCTTTTACTAGTTGTTGACAAGTTTTTATAACAGGGGAAAAAAGGACAATTTGGGGGCATAAAAGCAGGAAGACAAGGGCTTTGACTAAAGAATACGAACATTTTGGGACGAATCTTTGTTCACGCAGAATTTGTAAAACAATTTAGATTTTGTTTCTTTGAATTGCACCAAAGCCATATTGGGCTATCAGCTGTGTCCACCATGGGGAATCAAACCTCAGATTTTAGCAATGCAAATCTGTAAACCTACCTCTGCTCTGTCTCACAGTCTCAAAAAATCACTTTAAATTACTCATACTATAATAAAAAGTGTTACCAGTTATAGTTCCTACTCTGATGTTTTAGCAGGCCCCTCACAAGCCAGTGGGTGGTGGTGGGGGGTGCATTTTTGTTGAAAAAACAGAAACTACCTGATCCAGTTTTTCTTAATTTGAACTGAAATTTTCTGGACATTTTTATTAGCTAAAAAAAAAGGCATTTCCCACACTCCTTTAGTATTGGAGCAGTAAACGTTATTTGAAGTAGTAAAGTGACTGAAATCACTAGCTTATCAGCCAAGCACAAGAAGCATGGAAGTCTTCAACTGACATGCAGAGGTATTCAGGAACTGTTTAGAACCACCTTGGTAGATAATATTGTACTCGGCTTGCTGCACAATATGCCTGTAGTTGCTTTCAAAGTGTTCCTGTCTGCTCATCCTACTCCTGACTATCGTGATGCTTCGACCTTCCCTACCAAATCACAGGTGAAATCGTTTGTATCTCAATTGAAAGCTAAACATAAAACGGTGATAGCAGAAGCATAAAAGGTTGGAAATTGCTTAATTAATGATGCTAGGAATGTGGCTTTATTGTTTTATACTGAGTTTACTCCCAGCAGGTAGACCTTAGTACTAGCTAGTGTGAAGACTTGAGGATGATGTATTTCACTTAAAAATTCATCAATTAACAAACAAAAATTTGTCTCGAAAAGATAGGTCCAAAACCACCCTCTTTGGGAGGTTCTGGATTGAACTTACTTTTAATATTCAAGAAATTGTAGTGTAAAGACACCCCTTGGCTCCTGAGGGACATCTTAACAACAAAACTATTTGAAAAACATTTAAGCGGATTAAGCAGTCTGTTTTTTATGAATATTTTTTGGTTAATTTTGTTGTTTTCTTAGATGATGCTTCAGCTTTTATGTTTAGTTATTTTTTTTAAGTTAAAAGAAGAAGAAAACGATCATTGAAACACACTGTTGATAAAAAATAAATTACAAAATGTCCAGGATTTCCTTACCTCCAACAACAATACACATATTGAATACCCTAGCTACAGCCGTTTCTCGTTCCTTTACAGATTCGCCTACAAAAACTGTTTTTCCATATGAAACATTTTCAAAGCTTCCATCAGGATTCTGCTTGGATTTTTCAGTAAAATCCTAGCAAGAAAAGTCGAGGGTAAGTATTCATAATTTCTTACAAGATATAATACAATAAGTTGAGGGCAAGTATTCATAATTTCTTACACGACACCGTACAAGAAGCTGAGGGTAAGTATTCATAATTTCTTACACGACATAATACAAGAAGTTGAGGGTAAGTATTCATAACTTCTTACATGACATCGTACAATAAGTTGAGGGTAAGTATTCATAATTTCTTACATGATATAATACAATAAGTTGAGGGTAAGTATTCATAATTTCTTACACGACATTGTACAAAAAGATGAGGGTAAGTGTTCATAATTTCTTACACGACATCTTACAAAAGTGATAAAACAAACAATTATGATGTCATTCAGCAACATAAATAATTTACTTTTTTTCATCAAATAATGCTTGCTTTCAAACTGAGCATTAGGTCTAACCTTGAGCCCTATTAGTGATGACCTCAGAACAATAGGGTCCTGGGTTTTAAACCCTGGTCAGGGTACATTTCTAAACTTCCCGATTTGTTATACAAAACATATTTCCCAACCCAATAATAAAGGGTGAAGCCATGGCAACAATTGAAAACATCCTTAATAGTCAAAATTTATTGATAGTGGAATGTGTATTCAGGTCTGAACGGTAAAATAACTGGCTATATGTAAAAATGTACAACTACACAAAGGACATTTATTAGACACTTATGTTAAGAATGTTAACTTGATAAGAATGATGAACTGTTCTTTATACAATAGTTTTCTTGTTTTTTTAGGTATAATTTGTTGAATAGCATCCAGTAACATGATAAACTTGCACATAGAATGTTAAATCAAGTTTGAAAATTTGATTCATAACAGTGTATACATGAGATAAGTTGGTAGTGTAATTTCACCTAATAAACTCAGATTTCCTACAAAAAACAGTTAAAGTACAAGACCTAAAGTGCTTGTCATTTTTATGCATAGAGTACTAAAAAAAAGTAGCACACAATTAATTAATCTCAAGCTACAAATTTCTCTCGGTGTCCTCGATAATCTGAGAAAACATTTTACAACCACAGAGCAATTGGTCAGGAGCTAGCCAAGGTAACGAACTTGACGTTGGTCACGGGAGGATTTTTTGGAGCTTCTGACTGCATAGCTAGGGCTTTTAACGAAACGAGGGAGAATAACAAGAGCCTGTACAGTAGTACTTCCTGCGTTTTCCACGTGCTACCAACAAAGGACCAGCAGGTGAGAAAACGTCCTAAATCTGAGGTGTTTTCATAAGTACATGTGTTACTTGATAATCCAGAAAGTTTTATATATACATGCGCTAAATGTTTAGTGAATTAAAACATTTGAGAAGCAACGTGTTTTTATGTTGGTGTTTTAAATATAAGTGTTACCTTGTGCAGGATTCTCTTTGATACGTGTTTATCGTTTATCTAATAATAAAGTGTAGAGCCATGGCAACAACTTTGAATATTTATAATAGTTCTGAAATCTATGAAGAAGAAAGTGAACTAATATTAAAATATAACGAAACTGTGATAGTAAATTAGGGTATACGTCTTAAAAAAAGCTATATTGGTAAAGTAAGGGGTAGAAAGATTTTCAGAAGTCCAAGACAGGTTTTTTAGCTGTCAGTGGATAGAAAGATTCTCAGAAGTCCAAGACAGGTTTTTTAGCTGTCAGTGAATAGAAAGATTCTCAGAAATCCAAGACAGGTTTTTTTAGCTATCAGTGGATAGAAAGATTCTCAGAAATCCAAGACAGGTTTTTTAGCTATCAGTGGATAGAAAGATTCTCAGAAATCCAAGACAGGTTTTTTAGCTATCAGTGGATAGAAAGATTCTCAGAAATCCAAGACAGGTTTTTTAGCTGTCAGTGGATAGAAAGATTCTCAGAAGTCCAAGACAGGTTTTTTAGCTATCAGTGAATAGAAAGATTCTCAGAAATCCAAGACAGATCTTTAGCCTTTTTTTGTTCTTATTTTTTCTTTCATCTTTTATAATGTTTACTTGCTTAGTTGATTTTAAGCAGCCCTAAATTTTCTTTAGGCCCAGCATGCACTTTTTTTTATATTTTATCTGTACAAACCAGTAACCTCAATATCAAGTCAACTGTTTTCACCTAAATATATCTCTATTCGAAAAAAAATTACAACTGTTGTTATAAATTGAAAGTTTTTTTTTCCTTTAGTCCTCTACTTAGATTCAAATATTGAACTATAATAGCTTTTACTCCATTCGCAAATGTTTTAAACAACTCACCGACAAATTTCTTCAGTATGACGACTGAGTTTACTGCTTCCAGCAATATAAACACAATTGTTGGGATCTGGTATCATTTTCATGAGCAAGCTCGCCTATACACGTAATAAATTCATGACTATTTTAGTACCTGCCGTAAACATTATTTACATAAATTTCTACTTCTAATACCATCTAATAATACAATTGTACATTAATTAATTATAAGTAAAAATGACAAGGGGCTCGTCTATGCTAAATGTAGGTCGATATTGAAGGTATAATCAAACCTTGTTATCAGATGGGGTCATTCTCTTTACTCTTTGTTTGATAATGATTTCTTAGCTTTATTTACACTGAAACAATTCACTTAAGTTGCCCTGGTAATTATGTTAGACTTGCCCTGGGTGTTTAGTAGTAGCAGACTACAGGTTACAATCAATAAAGTTATATTTTACAACATCTTACCTGATATGACAGTAGACAAAAACAAGATTTATAAAGACAGAGAACCTGAGCTACATGTTCAAATATCAAAACCTACACAACACCTTCCCTGATATGACAGTGGACAAAAACAAGATTTACAAAGACAGAGAATCTGAGCTACATGTTCAAATATCAAAACCAAAACCTACCCAAAACTGTATTTTAGCTTCCGCTACCCCTTCCTTAGGAGCCATTGATGTATCTGGACAGAGTGCTCTCTTTATCCTTGTACTCAAAGTGGACAGGAATTGAGGGTTGTTCATGTTTTGCTACAATAATAATCACAAACTTTGATACAGATTGTAAACCTCATATTTCACTATTCAAAGTATGAAAATAATGACACAGAGCATGGGTACCATAAGAATTTCCTTAGAGACGAGTTCGTAATAGTAGTAACGTCTGTGAATACATTATGTAACATCGTAGTAGTAACGTCTGTGAATACATTATGTAACAATGTAGTAGTAGTAACGTCTGTGAATACATTATGTAACATCGTAGTAGTAACGTCTGTGAATACATTATGTAACAATGTAGTAGTAACATCTGTGAATACATTATGTAACAATGCAGTAGTAACATCTGTGAATACATTATGTAACAATGTAGTAGTAACATCTGTGAATACATTATGTAACATTGTAGTAGTAGTAACGTCTGTGAATACATTATGTAACATCGTAGTAGTAACGTCTGTGAATACATTATGTAACAATGTAGTAGTAATGTCTGTGAATACATTATGTAACAATGTAGTAGTAACGTATGTGAATACATTATGTAACAATGTAGTAGTAACATCTGTGAATACATTATGTAACATTGTAGTAGTAGTAACGTCTGTGAATACATTATGTAACATTGTAGTAGTAGTAACGTCTGTAATACATTATGTAACATTGTTGTAGTAGTAACATCTGTGAATACATTACGTAACAATGTAGTAGTAACATCTGTGAATACATTATGTAACAACGTAGTAGTAACGTCTGTGAATAGGGTTTTGTATTTTGGTTCAAGCTTTTGATGAAAAACTCCACTAGTTAATATCATTAAATAAAACTTACTGTGATCATGTCATTTCTAGTAATATCATTAAATAAAACTTACTGTGATCATGTCATT